ACTAAGCTAGTACAAAAAAATGTTCAATTTTTCTAAATTAATTTATTTCGATATCAACATATTTACCCGTTTTCTACTTCTATACTAATATTATAAAGAGGAACATTTCATTTGATTGTAATGAATAGGCTCAAAAACTATTGTTTCGATTGTAAAAATTCTTTCACCGTTAGAAAGGAAATGTATCTGTGAGTAACATAGGCAATGCAATGTTTTTTTTTATTCCACGCGGACGGAGTCGGGGGCGAAAGCTAATCGATTATAAACGGGTAAATATGTTATCTACAGTACAGAGGTAGATTATGACCTCACCGTGAAACCTGGCGATAGATGACTTCATACATGCACTACCATACCAAACATATACTATGAACTAGGCGTTCCCGTGCGACTTAATCCGCATGAAATTATGAAAATTTTATTTTATTGTTTACATTTGTCAAATTCTTGCTTTTTGATGTTGGCAGCTCGTATCGCTCGTAATATATAGCCTAAAGCGTAACTTAAGTGTAGTCCTTTTTTATTAAAAAAAGTGCTATTCGAAAATATGCTCTGATTGCTGACATCTTAGGCAACAAAGAAGTGTGTATAAACCGTCATGTGAAAGCAAACATGATATAAATTTAACTTACTTTAAGTCACTGTGGGGAACTAAGTACAATACATAACATGGTCGAGGAATTTGGCGGCATTTCACCTTAAAAACCACAGTCTTTCGAATTTTTTGTAGGCATTAAGAAGACGCGGTACAATAAACAAAACAAATCACTGCTACATAATGGTTTTTATAAGATACTAGCTTTCGCCCGCGAATTCGTCCGCGTGTAATAAATAAAAGTATATAGCCTATGTGTTTTTCCAGACTATCCTCTACATCTATGACATATTTCATTGAAATCCGTTCAGCCGTTTAGGCTAAAAACTCAAACATCCTTCCATCTAATCATTCGCATTTATTTATTAGTAAGATAGAGTTTGTCTTGTTGACTCTTACTTCAACAACTAATTTGTATAAACTATTCCGCTCCCTTTTCAAGTAAAAATCCGGCTCGAAGGACCAAAATGTAAATCGTAAAAGATTTAGAAATAAAGCTATTTTGAAAAAGGACAATAAATGAGTACCTCTTTCTTTTGGGAAGTCGGTCGAAAAGTGATGACGGCGACAATGTGTTCTAATTTTAAATAATTCAATTTCTTTTTCTTTTCTAATGGCTTGACTCTAAAAACGTGTAAAAACTCCTTGAACAATCTAATCATCAACAAAACGCTCACAACAAAATTTGATTTCATACAAAACGTACTCATTTCCTTTACTGAGATAATAGTTACATTTCTACAGTGAAAATCCACGGTTATATGATTCATAGATACGCAAAGATGCGGTCTTGCACCGGTGTGTGTGAGATAGATAAGCTACGTCCGCTTATCATAGCCGGCTTAACATCGCCGACTGATACACCAATATCAGGAAATAGACATTATAAAAAACAAATACACAAAGAACAAAGAATTTAGAATAGGGTATTTAAGCTATTCCAAACAATATAGCATATTTCTGCTAAATCAGTTTCAGAAAATAAGCAGACTCAACACTTCGTTATCACAATTTATTTTATTCCATCTTAAATTTAGGGATGCCTTAACTGAATGAATATGTTGTAAGAATGGCGGCACGTAGTGAAATCATTCACTCACCAAAAGGGAACGACTGAATGACCAGTGTAACAATGAGCCGAGGTAGACAGCACGTGGCGAGTTCGTTCACTCGCGGCGGGTAATAACATAAACAGTGTACACGACCGTCGCCACTTGCGCGTTGTAACGTTTACTCTACTAAGCAACCAATACAAATATTGAAAGATTTTTCACAAATACAAGCTGTAACAATATTTAAAAATCGATAATAAAACACAAAATTTAACAACAGTGCTCAATTTAACCTTTTCCAAATGTACAAGTATCATTATGTATTGAAAAGGGTTACCCGAACCTGCCTACACCGTCTGATAAGAGCGTGAACATGGGCCGGGTGCGA